TGGGTTGTGAGCACGAATGAAGTTAGTTGTAGGACGAGTATTAATTTAATTGTGACCTGATTAATGTAGTAATTGAATTCAGTTGTGCTACTGCTACTTATATGTATTGTACGTAGACGGTATCATGGTATGAGGTCATCGGGATGCAAAAAGGGAAAGACGGTGGCGATAGCAGTATAGAGCCRCATCGATTGCTTGCACCGCGGATGTGCTGGTAAGAAATATGTGGTCCATGAATATACCAGATGATAACGACGCCGTTGTCGTACACTTATAAAATATGACAACATCGATATCTCAACAATACGAGCGGTAATATAGGACATGCTCTACGAAGGGTCGATACAAATGGGTCGATGCTAATGTCCGACACATAGCTCGCTAACATGTAGGATCGCTGATGTTGATGTCAATACCGATCTAAATCTGCGTGCGTCAAAACCGTTGAGATCTTCTTCGTCGTGGGTCAGGTAAAACCTTATAGACAATAAATTCGATTATATGTTTAACCTCCGCTCGGGTACCAGTGACTCTGCGTTAATGTGATATTTTATTAATGATCGTTTAAACTACCCACTGCGTAAAATAAATACGGTGCGATAAGGTGCGACGTCGTCCGATGCACTAGACAAATTGTTTTAATATCTTGTTTTTATATTTGTTTATTTATTAACCTAAAGAATCGGTGTCTTCATGTCGCTTATATGTGACACGTACAACACTATTTATATTTATTTTGTTTGCCCTAGTTTGTGGATAATAAAATACAAAAGAAAACAATAGGCGGAATGAAAGAGAGTGATAACAACTACTTCAACTCTGGTACTTCAACGCCAATAAAAGAGGGATGGTTCGAAAGGGCCAAGAATGCGATGGAACGAGCCCAACTGCTCCTCACAGGGATTCGGCTACAGGCCAGTTCAAGAATGCAGGAGTATGAGACGATACAAGAGCATAGATGCAGAAGAGAAACATAGAAAAATATATGGTGAAACGAGAGAACCATCTAACAACCCTAGAGCAACACACATAGGCAACGACCCTGATCGTCGTGGCTGTTGTTTTTCGGTTCTAATTATCTGTACTTAGGATGCATGTTTAATAGAATGACCTATATCTGTCCTAATTTGCAGTAAAGTGTACGAATGTTTGATTTACCCATTAATAAATTACAGCGTGCATGGTCGTTGATTTCAACAAAGGATAAAAAAATATAAAAATAAATACAAGATAGATACAGAGAATTAACAAAATATATAACAAACAAACCAGACCCAAATAAGTCGAGTAATAATAACAAAATTAATTAGAAGCGAGATACCAGAGGTAGACTCGTTTTTTGGAACTTTTTAACTTTCTTTTTTTGTTTTACCTTTAAAGCACCGTCTCGAGTTCTACAAGGACGCTTTTGAGGAATACCGCAAAAGCATTCTGCTGGCCATAGGCGATAAGCAGGATCTCAGGCTAAAGATCGAGAACCTCGAAGAGAGAATCCCGCTGCCGATGAGAAGGAAAACCGCCGCGCTCGTTAGGCTTTCAATCATCCCATTTCTTCAACCTCAATATGGACAATGCTTTTTTTTCCCTAGGAACACAGTCTATTATTTCTTCAACTTCATCTCCCGCAATTTCCTCTATAATAATATATTATATATTTGCCCATTGTTGTCAACACATATCTCATCGCTTCCCAGTATAAAGTAAATATAATTTAGTTTTTAATCTTAAACAAATATATATATAATAATAATTTAAAGTTATCCGWGTCGATATAATTGCCTTTATGTACCGATGTCGTCCTCCGTAGCTTTATCGACATCGCGAACTATTCCTTGCGTTGCGTCGCTACTGCATGTTGTTATCGATACCTTAATTTTTTATCGGCACTGTGTATTGTTTCCGCTAAGAGTTGTGTCGATCTCGATGGTATCCGAATGAAAGTAAAAAGTTGATCGGTAACGACAGAGGCGTTACCTTTGCCTACAAATGATACAGCTGTCTTTAAGTCGTTATCTATGGTGATGTAACATAATAATAGGATAAAAAAAAACCAGAGGCAAAAAATAAAGGGGGGAAACATATTGGAAAGTCGAGGATGGGCGGGAACAATATTAAGGGATGAAAATTAGGAGATCAAGGATGTATTCGTAATTAACGGGTGTCAGGAGGGTTAGAATAACATGTTGTTGAGAATGGAGCCAAATTAAAAGAAAGAATGAAGGTGGCTTAATGGGCTTAAATAAAAAAAAGGCCCATTACATTATTTCTTCTTCATTAAGTTGGCAATTTTCTTTTGTTAAAAAGCAAGTGTCTGCCGCCCACGATTTTAACAACCCCGAGAGAGAGAATCAAGTGAGAGAAATTTACAGAGAGAGAGTTTTGGCGAGAGTTTCCTGGTGAGGCTTCACAAAGAAGAAAAACGTGAGCTTTGTAAGTTTTTGTTTCCATTGAAGAATTTTAGAAGCTTATAAGAGTGATTCGTGAGCATTTTTCTTTGAGAGAAAAGTGAGAGAAATCATTATAGAGCGTTGTAAACTCTGGAAGATTCTCCTGACATTTGGTGGAACCTGCAACGGTAGCAGAAAACTGGAACTTAGCCCACATTGGGTGAACCAGTATAAATCCGGTGTCGATTTGTCTTCCCTATATTTTATTGTTCTTGTTGCTTGAGGTTTAGGTTGATTTATCTACTCTTTGAACATAGTTCTGATTTGATTTATTTCCGTTATAATTGGAACCAGAACCTGATCTGGGATTAGTTAACATATATTGTCTGGAATTGTGATTGAGATAATATTTGTTAGCTTGTTTTATTCCTATTACATGTTTCATGGATTAGTGTCATATCTCATTGATGCCCGTAATTTATGTCATTGCTGTGATTATCCCCTTTCTTTTCCCGCAGTGGTACCAACTCTGATCACCCACACGCGAGCGGCGACTCCAGCTACCCACGAGCAGCGAACTCCCTGCGCCACGATGAGCCAGGACGTGTCCTCACACGAGAACCGGAAATGACTCCTCACGACATCCCGTTGCGGCGAAGTCCTCCGGAAACCCGACTAGCCCATGGTCATCATTAGCTTTTTGTAAGTTCAGTTGATGATTTTATTTGTTGGGTTTTCTTCTGCAAACCTTTCTGTGGTCCTTTTGTGGTTGTGGTTCAGCGGGGATTGATTACACTTAGTGCATAGATTCTCCACAGACTGCAAGTGCGGTTCTTGAATGTATTAAAATGTAAACGTTTGTTGCTATTCTGAGTTGGGTTTTACTGTAATTTAACGTTTAATGGTAATTGCAGTTTCAATGAGTTGAGTTGTGGGTGTTTTAGGTTTACTTCTTGAGTTTTTTGTTGATTTTCCATGATATGGGAATGTTGGAAGAGGAGGATATATCCTTAATGAATGATTTTAAAGGGTGAATATTGATTCTGAAAGATGATTTTGTTGGGTTGGTTTTATTATTAAATTTGCCTATTCTCGTTTAATCGTCATTCGGTTGCTTTCTGTTTGCTAATCTTGGGATGAGCATCCATAAGCTTCGTTTTCCATGTTCTCAGTTGTATTCTAGTGAGGTTTCGTACTTTTTCTGTTGTTTGATTATTGAGGAAAAACATAAATAAATGGATTCATGAACTTTAGCTGTTATTTTTCTAAGTAAGTTGTGACTTTTTGTTCTAATATTTTTGAGTGGATGGTTGTATAGTCAACACTTACGAGGGAAGTGGCAATGGTTACAATCTCCTTCCAGTTTTATGGTTAAAAATGATCTTTCTGATAGATTTCTAGTATGTGTAATTGAAGCTCAATCATGGTATTGCTGAATTGTAACTTAAAATTACCCAGTTTATAACTCCTTCGGTTGGAGTTGAGTCAAAGAATGCCATTGGTGCCTGAGTATACTACATAACATATATTTTAAGAGCTTTTATGCTTTTGTATTGTTGAACTCATCTAGTTTTAGTTGTTTGCTAGGAAATAATGTACCTTGAAAGGGTAAAGCTAATTGATTTGAACTTTTATTTTTTGTTGTTAATTTCTGATGACTGTCATCTTGGTTATTGCAATTACTCAAAAAAATCATGTATCTATATTAGATTCAAAAATGAAATCTACAAGCCAACTTTAACATGGACTATAAATCAATTTTTCTCATTTTAATAACTTGTACGTGGCATATTTTTCGATCTTATGCTACGAACATACTGCCCTTTTATTTGATATTTTTCGATCTAAACTCCAACCATAAATCTCAATTTATGGAACCAAGTAAAATTTAACAATCACCATCCTTTCAATTTACACCTGCGTCATTTTTCAATTCCCAAACTATCTCAAATGTCCAACAATGCTTATAATACATATATAGCTATTAAAATGGTGCAAAGTACTACAAAGAGCCCTTTTATAATTTTAAAATCTTTAAATATTTCTTCGCCATTTGATTTACAACAATACAAGCATCAACCATTAACCATTAACTTCACAAGTACGGCCCATTGAAAGTGATGTTGTTTGGGGGAGAAATATCCCTTCGCCACGTGGAGGACGGGGATTCGCCGTCAATGGAAGAATTAGAGGAATAAGCTTACGGAGCTCCATCTCGGATCCTTCCGAGGTGGGATATTCACCACTTCCTATTAAGGAATTCATTCGACGTTTCCAGGAATGTGTCCAAGGTCGACCTGATCGAACCCGACACATCCGACCAAGGTAACCCTGTCGTAACCCCTGTCGGAATCTAAACCTATAAATAGAGGGCCTCATTTCACTATCAGGTATCGAATTTCTCTTCGAACTTAATATTAAGTCCGAACTGCTTGCTGACTTGGGCGTCGGAGATTTTGCCCTTTTGTGCAGGTCTTCCCTTTACATTTCGGATCGGTGCTAGGACTGGGTTCGAGCTAGATAGACGTTGTGCAAATCCTTGCATAAACATTTGGCGCCGTCTGTGGGAAGGCAAGTATAAGTCGTCCCAGCAACCAAAACATTTGATCCGAGATGGTTCAGCCAATAGAATCTGCAAACACGGCAGAACGAAGAGCCTTGAACGGGAACAACGACGCTCAGCATGAGCTGGACGCCAAAGTGACTGAAGAGCAAACTAAGGCAGGGCAAGAGGTGGATCCACCTCGGAGGTCCACACGCAATGCCAACACTATCCTGCCACCAGCACACCCGAGGTCTGGCAAGGCCAACCGAGGTCGAGGTGGTACCTAGAGAAAGACCTCTCGAAGGGCCACGCCGGCCGCGGACCTTGAAGTTCTCGCAACCCTCCAGCAGGAATTAGATGATATGGACAATCGAGTGCACACTATGGAGGAAAGTACAATGAAATGATGAGGGCGAACTGAACTGGGTCCCATTCCAAGGCCCCAGGCGGGACGGACGACCTGCCGGAGGATGGAGATGACTTGGATCCACCCATCCACCCCGATGACTATGAACCCGCTGTTGAAAACAAAGGGATTGATTATAGTCTGAGGGATCACGACCTCCGAAAACACCTGGTTGATAAGAAGAAGAAGGCCTCACGGGGCCAGGGATCTCTCCGTCATGCTCTAAAAAATACTCCAACTCCGACCTCAAGGCCCAGTCAAAATACACACCTTTAACACCAGAGGCCGTAATTACGAGGGAAGAGTTCAACCTGATGAAACACAGATTCGACGAGTAAGTTGAAGCACTTAAGGCCAAATGCGAAAAGAAGGAAAGCCTGTTCGATGATGGCGATATGGGTGAATTGTCATTCACCTCTGACGTATTGGAGGCTGCAATCCCTCCGAAGTTCAAA